TCAGGAAGCTCCTCTTTTCTGCACAGTCTTCTCCCGGGAAGCAGAAGGCACCTTATTGTTTTGTAGTTGTTTTTTTTTTTTTTTTATAAATGTGCAATGCATTCAAAAACAGCACAAGAAAACTGCAGTCTGCATGACAAAAAGGATGCAGAGCGGATTAAGGGCAGTGCAATGTCAAATCAGAGAGGAGGGATAGTTCAGTCTTCATCTAGAAAAAAAAAAAAGAGAAATGATCTCTCTGTGCTTATGTGACACATATCCAACTTCTAGGTATTAAAGCAAGTAGATGTTGCCTGAGAGCCCTGACAAATCCTTTCTTACCCATCCAAACTGCACATGAGGAAGGCAGGCTGAATTCTGCTTTGCCATAATCACGTAGACATACTGTGATTTTACTGGCTTCAGGGAGTGCACCGGTAAGTACTCCTAGTTATTTTAATTGCACATCTAATTAAACAGTTTACAAAGGTGGGCGTGGAGGAACATTCAGCTGCTGTCAGTAGACCCCACAGCACGAGTGTACGATCCTTTCTGTCCAGTACTGCGGGATTTCACAAACAGTTCAGGAAGAAAAAACACAGGAACAGATGTCTGCTTGAGGCATGTAACCCCTTCGGCTCTAAGGAGGAAGTTCTTGGCTAATAGAACTGCTTAGTCCCAGAAACTAATGAAGAGACACTTTGTGCATCTTACACTTTGCTCTGTTAAGAGGTATAATGAAATACAACATGTAATTTTCTCCAAGTTGATTTATCCCTTTTTGCTACCATCTAGCAATATTACACAGTGTTAAATCTTCTGGCTTATGCTCTCCTCCCATCTGCCACCTTATTTCCTCTTTTTCCCCTTCTTGTTTCTCTCTACACATTTGATTTATTTATCTTGATGTAATTTAGTTTTTATTCAGCTCCCCTCGGCATTAGCCTCGGCATCAGGCAGCCTGGAAATCATTCTGCCTGAGAAACACACTATGCAGCACAGCTACACCACCACTATAGAAAAAAAACAAGCAGCAGCCCCAGGGGCCCATCCTAAATTAACAATGGCTCTAGGAAAATGATCATTCTGCCGGTGCAGAGAAATCCCTCATCAATGCAGGAAAATCAGGGCAGAACAAGCCTGGGTGCAGAAACCAACTGGGGGAGCGAGTATCTGACACTGCCAGGCTTCGCACGTACCAGTGACAATGGGAAAGGCATTTGATTTTCTCAGCAGGTCCCCACGTGAAATGTTCTGACTGGGCTGAAACAGCTGCTAAGCTCTGCTAAGCTCAGCCTGCTGGCAGCCATGTCAGGGCATCTCCTCTCTGCATGCTCTTCTGCCAAAGCCCTCAGGGACAGGGGGTTTGTCAGCCTTGGAGCTTCAGGAGTTGAAGGAAAAGCCCAATTTAGTAAGAGATCCCATGCCTAACCTGACTGAAGAGAAGCCAGCTGACAAGAAGGCTTCTCTGCAGTACCAATGTTTAGTTTTACGCCTACGTTCTTCTCCTTCCTGCCATTATAAAGTGTTCTTCCGTTATTGGAGTGAGCGACTGTGATACAGCAGTGACTCACGCTTCCATGGCTTTATCTAGCTGCGTTACACTTAAGAGGAAAATCCCAGTCCAACTGCTGTGCAAGTGTGCAAAATCACTTTTACAGACCCAAACAGCACCAGGATAAAGCCCAAACCGCACCAATATGGTGAATTTTTTAGTGGGGCCTGTGGTCAGCTCTGCAGTTGGCTGCAGGCAAACAGGCGATAAAATTTCTAGCTTCAAAGTGCATGAAAAGCTGCTTAGTCCCCAACATGTTTATGCAGCACTTCTTGATGCCTGGGCTCAGGCAGACAGCAACACTGCTGAAAAGGCAGACATAAAAACATGCACTTATTAAAAGGAGCTTTAAACCCAGAGTTGCCCACATCAAGGAGCATCCATTGCCCAGCGTTTGTTTCCTCCTAGTGGACCCGTGTGTGATTGCAGTGCTGACCTCCACCATTTAATGTTTGCCATTAGATTAACACCGCTCGAATTAAACGTGCAGAAAATACCTGCAACTTATAGGTGTCTCCTCTTCAAGAATACTGATTCTAAAAGCACTGGAATATTTGACATTTAGATGATTTTGATGAGTCACACCCAATTACTGTAGAATCAGTACTTTAATTTGTTCACCTTCCTCACGAACACATGTTGAAAAGCAACAACACAGAAGAGAAATACAGTTTAACTCTGGGACAGGAATCCTTCACTGCTTTAATAGGAAGAATTTGTACCGCACTTTCATGTAAGAGTTCCAATGTGAGGTGAAAATTGCACATTTGCAGATTAATTAATTTATGGTTTGGAATGGATTTAACCAGATTATTTGAGGAAAGCACTAAAGAACAGAAATTTTTCAGAAAACACTGAAGCAGGCAAGCACTCAGACCATCAGAACATAACAACCTATTACAGTCCTAAGGGAAAAGAAAAAAGTCTTCTCTGTGATGCTCATCAAGACAGCTGGCAAGTTTGTTTACTTGAATTCAAGTCTCTCTTTTCATTATCAAGCAGCTCACATACATGAGTAACAGAACTTTTGGGTACAGTACTGAAAACTGTATGTACAACAAAATAAGATTTAATCACTTTGTGTCAATACTTATAAATGTAACAATTCTCCATAACAAACTCACCAGGAAGTAAATCAGCAAAGACTCAGCTCTTGCATCTTTGCTTCCCAGGAACAAAAAACTCTCCTGGAGCCCACTTCCCTGACACCTGAACTCCAGGAAATGCTTTATTGGCAAACTCCAGGAAATAGTTTTAGGACTCGGGAGACTCATCTGAAACTTCAAGACTTCATCTCTCCAAACATTAATGTAGTTTTCAGTGAACTTTTAGTTCTTCAAGAGCAGCCAGGCTTTGCTGCTAACAGGAAAAGAAGTCTCAGAAGGAAAACCCAGCCCAGACACAAGCTTTGGTGCCAGCAACAGTGGCATACAGCACTACTCACAGTGTAACTCTCCCTTGTAAGAAACAGCACACCCATGAGATAATGCAGAGGTTACAACTTCAAGATTAAGATGAGCTCAAACGTGTATTTGACAAAATACAGAAATATCCAGTGTTGTGTTCTAATAATACAGAAATAACTTTGTTTTGGCTAAAATCAATGTATATGCTATTTTAAGGTTAAAACAACTTTCCATATGCATGAATACTTGGCCTAGTGAAAAATATCAAGTAGCTTGACAGTCAAGACAGGAAGATAGAAACTAAATGTATTTGACTGAAACTTCTTACAAGTAGAGGTCTGTCACAAACAGTAGTCACCCCTACTAAGTGCTCCACCTGCAAACCCTCCTTCTCTGCTTCTGTGCCACTTTTTGTGCCTGCTGCCAAAGGTCAGACCAGTTAACTATCAGCTTCTGATAAGCCTCACATTGACAGTATGCAAAACATTTCCTTCAACCTTAACCAGTCATACCAGCAACACCCTAAAAAGAAAGAAAAAAAAAAAAGTTAAATAAAACCTCTACTGCTCTGATCACCTGGAAGAATCCCAAAGGGTTCAGGTTAAAATGTCAGCTTCTTGAAAAGACCTCACTTATAGCTCGGAGGTAGTCTCTGTGTCCCAGGACATTGAGAGCTGAACCCTACACAGGCTGCAAGTGCACTGATGGACCAGGCTTAATAGAAAACTGCCCTCTACCACCCCACTCTTTGGGTTCTGCTTTGTAGTCATTTATGTGTTAATAAAGCAAAGCTATGTAAGGAAAACAACGCAACAGCCATTAATGCAACCGCTTCAGACAAGTGCCATACAAAGGGAGAGGAAGAGCTCTCCCCATCTCATCCTTCCCTTCCACCTTGTTTCTAACTGTCACTGAAGCCTTCCCTTGTCCATGTCAGTTCTTTTGGTAAAATTAGCTTAACCACATTAACGGTCAGCCCAGGGAGGCAGGAGTTATTTAAGACACGTAGAGCCTAAGGCCACTTAGTAAGAAAGGTATGCCTCCTCCCTCCACAGCAGGAGGAGTCCTCCGGAGCCAGCCGGAGCAACGATGAAGCAGGAAGTAATGATCAGTGGGGTTCTCAGCTTTTATTTTAGCCTCCAGAGTAAATCGGGATAGCCTCCCCCACAGAAGTGTCCTGTGGTCTTGGGAAGTCAGCTTCACTGCTAGAGACTGCGAGTGCAACTAAGGCTTTCTAGCAGCAAAGACAGCCCTACAACCCCATGCCCATCACGCTTGGAGCTCTTCCTATCATTCCACTTGGTCTATTAAGAAAGCTCTCACAGAGACCATCTTCCTAATCCTACTCTAAATACAAGTCTGCAGTTCTCGTAGTATGTTCTTGATACCATGAAGTACTAGGGTCAAGTTTCAACACTGCTGTAAAAATCAAAAGGTAAAGTTGCCCTTTAGCCCCATCTTGCTGTAAGCCTTTTATATTGTCTGTTCAGAGTTAGCAATGTGGAATTTGTTCTTTTACAGAAGCCACACTGAACAGTAGCATAACAAGCAAAACGTGACACCTGCAGAGAATGCAGCATAATCATGAATTAAGCTGCATTTTGGCACTGTGATTTCTTTCCTGACACTGCCTTTTACATAGAAATCTATCCAGATCCAGACCTCCAACTTTAGAACCCCTTCCCCCCAGGGATTTTAGGATCTACCTTCTGAACACACATTGTACTGAATAGCCTCAGAGTAGTACACATGTATTTGAAAATAATTTAATACCTATTTTCTGATGAAGTACATTCTGTGCGTCATTTCAGTTTCATACTCAATGAGAGGGTACACACACTTTACACGACAAAACATTTCAACCATGACTGTTTAGTGAATTATGCACTGTAGTGATTAAAACGAGACAAGAACCAGAGAAAATACACATGCTGAAGCCTGATGTATACACTACACTGAAAAATCTTCAGTGACATGACAAAGAATTTGTGGTTTTCCCCCCAATTACAGGTGAGCAGAGGATTTGTCACACATTCATTTTGTAGCTTCTACTGTCCACTCTATGCTTCCTTCCTCTTGATGATCAGAGGACCAACATTGTCGCCAGTCTCCTCGTTGTGCTTTGTGTGAGAGCCATCACACAGCGGGAACTGAAAAAAGAAAGAATAAAGACCATCTGAAGTACATCCAGAGTCAGAATTAAGAACACAGGTTAAAAGTTGACTAGAATTTCTTCTCATTGAATCCACTGCGACCACAGGCAGCAACTTCTGTGCTGCCGTCTCAGGTGTCCCCAAGTTATGGCTGAACATGAGTTTTGTCTATGTGAGTGCAGAATGGATGAGAGGCTCGTTACAAAAAAGCAGCAGCTCAACTCCACTCTCTTTGGTGTTCCTGCCTCAGGACAGCAGGAGGGAATTGCAGCCTGAGCTGACCTTCAACTGTGATCTACCTGGAGTACCTTGCTCTCAACCTTGCCCACGCTCCCTTTCCCAGGCAACAGGCAGAGTTGACTGCAGTTACAGAAGATAAGTGGGGTGAAGAAGAGAAATAGGAGATCCTTAGCTTAATTTTTTCCTGGTTTTCTGTAGCACACAGTGAGAAACAGGACAGTTTCCCTAGCTCATCTCTTATTTAGAAGACAAGTACATATTAGTCCTGCCTCCAGGCAATTAGAGTGGCAAACTGCCTTTGCCTCCTCCTGACACAGCTAGCTTATCTCACTGACACAAAGGTCCCTTTGCGCAAGCTGCCTTCCACATGAGGATTTTGACCCGCTAATGGAAATAAAACTGCACTTCCAGTGAACAATTGGCTATTCATCAAAGGTCTGGTCAGAGCAAGACCCACACGGACTCCTCCAGACAGCTGTAACTGCCCAGGTCCCACACCAGTAACAACCATTCTGCTCCTGGGCAGGTCTTTGCGCATCTAAGAGCCAATGGAGGTTCTCTGGAGCAACAAGAGTGAGGTTAGATCCCATCACTTCTCAAGGAGGTGTCTTCAGGGCTGTGCCTCCTCTGCAGAGGAAGCTCTGGAAATGATCACAGAAATCACGTACAGGTATTTTGCATTCTATAGAAAAAAACAAACAGTCTTCCAGAGCACCAGCTTGGTCACCTTGAAGACCAGATACTGAACAGATGGATCCTGGACCTGACACAACACGTTCATTTTTGATTAAGACAAAACAGGCTAGTAATAGCAGCCAAAGCTCAAACCCTGGGGGCGTTGTGCTGTGATCTGGACAGCTCAGCTTATTTCCCTTGACACTGAACAGGTTTAGATCCTCTACCACTATTTCTTCTGATGTTCTGCAGCAATACTCTTCAACCTGCAGCCTGGGGACTAATACATCTCTTGAAGACATAAAGGTTAAAAAACAAACAAGCATATCCATTTATTGCCCCCCAGCTCACACTGAAAAAAATGTAGAAGAGGAAGAAACAAATGTTCTAACTTTGGACTAATTACAGTTTGGTTTTAAGACACAACTCTTGCCTTTAAACTGGTGAATTTGAACACTGGGTTTTTCCACAAAACTTGAGAAGCAGCGTTACCAAGTTTCTGTGCAGTACAACACTGAACAGGACAAGACCATTTAAAGAACTGCCTACCATCTACTTAAACATATAATTGCATTTGAAAGACAAGAGTTATCTGAAGATACCACATTTGGTTTTTTTTAAACACATGCACTCCATGAAGACTTTGGCCAGTACTAACAAATTTAAAAAGCCTCTGAAGTGTACTAGTTCAGAAAAAAACCAAACCAAACAAACAAAAATAATCCTGCTTCTCTTTAAAGTTACTCCAAAACACCCTGTTACAGTCCAACTATTATGTGTTCCCCATACAGGAGGAGCAGCGTCTGAAAACAGCTGTAGTGCACGCACAAGTGTCCCCTGGTTCGTGACACTACTGGTTCACAGTGACAGTTTCTTCTAACCTGGGTATGGAAGAGAGATCCCCACATGCCACTCATTTAACAAAAACACAGTGGGTACTTATTGTTTGTTTACTGGGATTCCCTGCACTGGAAGCACACGCTTCTCCCATTCTGACATCATATAAACATTATCTTACAAATTTTAACAGCATCTTAGTTTGACAAATGTAAGAAACAGATAATGCCAGCAAACTACTTCCAAAGATGACAAACATGTAAGAATGATGAAGAATGTCTCTATTTTATTACTGCTTGGCAGTAACTGAACATGAGAAGCAGCACACATACCATCTTGAAAGACCACGCTACCCACCATATAAGATCAACCAATCAGGGCATTGGTAGAGTTAGGTTAATGGTTGGACTTGATGATCTTAAAGGTCTTTTTCTAACCTAAATGAAGGCAGAAAAACTGGAAACTGCACTCTTTGAGGCAAAACATGCTGATTCAAATACTAAGCATTAGTAAAAGAAAATAAATGCCTTCAAAATTTTCCACTGACCTCCTTAATGCCTTTACAAGATGTTTCAGATCAGAGCTCTAAGAATGGATTTACAATAAGGTAACCCCATCTACTTCCTTTCAGTGTGTGATTACAGTGCCCTAACTAAGCAGGACAGTATGTTCCTAAACTGACAACACCCCTTCAATATGCCAAAACATACTTCATAAGACTTTTATTGCACACCAAAAAGATAATACCAAGCAGCAGCCAGAATATCAGCAGAGGCTGCAATGCAACCACTAAAACCAGACACTATCTTCCATCTCTGTTTAGAAAACAGAGTAGGAAGCATAAAGTACGAACACCAAGGCTCAAGTTAGGGTTGGTTTTTTTTTGTGTGTGTGTGTTTTTTTTTTTTTTTTTTTTGGGTTTTTTTTGTTTCTTTTTGTTTTGTTTTTTTTTTTTTTTTTTCCCCCAGAAGCATTGAATGAGGTGCCTACACTATTTAAGCCTGAGGTAAATCCAAATTCATATATTAAAACAAAGTGCAGATACTTAGAGCGGCCTTTTTGCAGACTTTACTCTGAGTGATGGCATAGTTTTGTGGATTAGAATACTGCCACATTGCACTGCAGAATACTTCAGGTGAAAATAAGTTAGTTTCCTCTAAATAAAGCAGTTCCAAATAGTTTTGTTGAAAGATACATGCACATGAATTAAACTGGATCATTTATTTTTCTCTTACCTTCTTAGATCTCCAGCAACGACAGTACACAGCCTTGTCTCCCAGATCTTCCATATCAAATGCATGGACTACCTTGGGGTTATCCTTCTGGATATGGGGATTCACCATTGCTTTGCAGCATTTGTCTTTAGAGAGAAGTTTTTTGTAAGCTAGATACCCAACAGCAGCTGCTCCAGCAGCTAAGGAGATTGCAGCAATCCATTCACCTAGAATAAAAGAGGAAAAAAAGAGAGACTTGTCAGGTTTTAACCACAACATTGTGTTAAAACTGCTCAGTAGTGAATGTCTTCGTGCTTGTGGCAATACCTTCACTCTCCAGCAGACCTCTCATTCTGTAGTAGTACTTTAGAACAGAACACAGTACTTCAGAACTAGAGTATTTTCAAAAGAAAACTCACCTAGACACTCACCTAATCTCCTTTTTACTGCTCAGACTTCTGCTTTGTCCCAGTCCCTTCTACACAAGGGTGAGGATTAACTTGGCAAGGCTTTGGGTTTTTTTGACCTTTTATTTGGGAACCTCTGATATCAACATCGGAAGTAGTGTGTTTCCAAGTACAGCATATTAAACCAGGTATAAGTATACCCTGTAGCAACGAAAAACCCCATTGTTTTGTTCCAGCTGCAGGAAAGTCACTTAAGCATCAACAACCTAAGTATCGAGGAGCTTTTAATATAATGTAATTCGTAACTAAAAAAAGATAAGAGATGTTTGGCAATGGGGAAATTATTTAATATGCTACTACCAGTAGTAACAAAAGCCAGCTTAGATTAAATCCCTGCTGTGGTGTACAGGGAAGAACAATTTTTTATTTTTTTAAAAATATATTTAATAAAAATAGCATGAGTTTGTTTTAACTGGATTAGGTCCCGAGTCTCTGAAAGACAACTTCCGTTAAAAAAAAAATAAATTCACTTTCTACCACCTCTCCTCCTAGCTATTGCTCCCTCTAGTTTACTCTAAAATCTCTGCAGTCTGGCCCACTTCATTTAATTTCCTTTTCTGCAAGGAGTTCCCCTACATTTTTGTGGCTCTATTGTTTTTTCTCTGCCTCAGGAAAACAGTCTGGACTTTGGCCCAAAAGTTCTCGTTGTGACACTAGCACCAGCAGTTTCTCTGGGAGCAGCAGGTGACTCCTCTTCCTTTGCTTTTTATCCACCCCTTCTGCTCACACACGTACTTGCAACATTTACATGCAAAGCTCAGCTCACTCTACACTGAAAATAAACAGGAATTCATGTTTTAACATCTCTATACAACTTAAGAAAACTGAAACTGCTTCCAGTTGGGAATGTTCATCTTGCCCTTCCATGGCTGTGCTGGATTTGAAAGACACCAAGCCAGATGGCATCTTTAGAGCAAGAGAACATTATCTTATCACATTAAAGGCTAAACAGAATCAAAAAGCCTTTGTTAGTTCTACTTTCCATGACCAACTGACTTGCCTTACCACCACTGTGAGCTTGCACTGAAAGGATCAGGAAGGTTTCCTGCCTCTGTCCCACAGCCTTTTCTAAAATCCATACCAAGCTCCTTCCTCACCTAAAAAAAAACCCACTGTGCTAGCTCATAGCACAGCTCAAAAGGGTCTGGATGTAGCAATATGTGGAGTTAGACAAACATATTTGTACCACGTTCGCAGCCCTGTACAGCCTGGGAAGGCAGGCACTCCTTTGGAGTCTGTCTAAACAAGTAAAAGCTGCAGAAATCCCCAAGCTGTTTTTTTTTTAGTACAAGAACCACACGAGACCAACACACATGGAGATATCCTCTGCAAATCACAGAATGGTGGGAGCCAGAAAGGACCTCTGGAGATCATCTCATCCAACCCCCTGGCTCCAGCAGGGTCACCCAGCGCAGGGTGCCCAGGGTTGTGTCCAGGTGGTTTCGGAATCTCTCCAGAGAAGAAGACTCCACAACCTCTCTGGGCAGCCTGCTCCAGGCTCGGGCACCCTCCCAGCAAAGCTGTTTTTCCTTGTGTTCATGTGGAACCTCCTGAGTTCCAGTTTGTGACTCTCACACTGTTGCTGGGCACCCCTGACAGGAGTCTGGCCCCATCCTCTTGATCCCATGAACCATAAGATCCCCATGTACTCTCCCTGTAACAACAGGGTGATATTAAGCTACACAAAACCATGTTTAACAACAAAGAATTGAGGGCATGTTTCCATGCTCCCAACCTCTTTAAACATAAAAGCCACAGACAGTATATTCTGAATTCAGTCGTTTATATCCATCCGGTGAGTTCTCACCTCTTTATCTCCCCATTATTAACCAGCCAGAATAACCCATTAATTTGATTTCCATAAACAAGAGAGGAGGTGAAAGGAAAGAAGGTATTCTATGAAAATCTGCTTCGATTTAGCAAAACAACCCATACTATTGCAAAGAACAGCAACAGCTTATATCAGAGGCAGCAGGTTCTCCCAAGGAAAGCCACCACGGAGAGCCTGCAGCACGCACCTGAGCGCGTGTCCCCACGCAGAGCAGGGCTGTGGCAGGGAGGAGGGACCAGCCAGTGCTGGGACCAGCTGGGTCTGACACAGTGAACATGATTTCAGATTCAATGTTCAGCTACAACAAGCACAGCTCCAACAGCAGCAGGCAAAACAGATGGCCTGCCCATAGTGGGGACTGCAGAAAAGCAGCAGTTCCAAGGGTTGCCTCAGCTGCCAATGGATCACATCTTAACTAATGATTTTAAATATCTGCTGAGGGGACAGCGATAAACTGTATCCATTTCCTCAAGGAACACAGGGACAAAAAGTGACTTTAATGAAGACTAAGGATGACTCCTATAACTGAACCACTCTTTTAAGTGCTGCACCCTAAGCTGATCTTCTAGTGCACCTGTCCAGAAGTCCAGGTCAGCTTAAGAAACCTGCAGAGGAAAATATTCTGATGATAAAAATACTTCTACGACTCACAGCATGAGCAGGAAAGTCTGTACTGAAAATGAGAAGCTCTGCAGTACATTCTGAAGAGCTCTCCTGCATATCTGCAGCTAACCTAGATCCCTCTGACCATCCCTCAGGCCACCTACCACAGAACCAGGCACAGCACATCCATCTCAACAAACAGATATCATTAATTCAAAGTAATTGTCATCTTCTGTTTCAATTACTTTCTACTTCTCCTGAGGGCCAGAGTCATCTATTACATACATGGGCATACTGTATACATACAAACTACTTAATAGATTTTTTTTTCTTACAATAGATCATAATGTCTTTTTTACTCTATTGGCTTTTTCATCAGCTGGGGCTGTACCAGGGTGGAGAAAAAAAATGATAATACACAAAATTCAACAATTTAAAGCAGTCTATTTTTTTAAATTTCAGCATTACCTTAATAAACTTCATGTAAATTTCTGAAAGCTATTTGAATTTAACAATTAGGCCCTCCCTCTCTATGATGCTCTCATCCTGCAAGGTTTCAGAGGCAATAAGTTCTGTTGTCAACTCTTGTTTTGTTTCCTAAACAGGTTTGGCAAAGCCTACTTCACCTTCCAAACTAAGTTAACTTAAAACTGCACCTGAAAGGAAAACACTTTCAGAACTTTTAAACACTTTAAATTGTTCAAAGAGGCCTCTGGTGCCAATTCAACAGTTCACTGCCAAACTTTTAAGGTCATGCATGTATTACTTGAAGAGGTATCTACTAACAGAGTGACATTGATAAGGAATGTCAAGGGGTTTTATTTAGCTTTAAAATAAAAACACTACGAATGGCTTTAGAGTGATTATTAAATTCCAGTTCTGGTACAATACCAAAACACAATGTTACAAGTCACTACAAGACAAAACACTACAGGCTTCTGTAAAACAGCATTAAAACTGCTTGAGTGTCATAAGCACAAAACAATGGGGAAAAGTCTGGCTACAACTCCAGAAAAATTAACACACAAGAAAGAGAAGAGAATGCAAGAGAGATGAAAAGAAGGGAACAGAAGAAAAAAAAAAAAATGCAATCCCAGGAGAGCAGGGAGTGCACAGAAATAAACAAAACAAACAAACAAACAAACAAACAAACAAAAAGGATGAGAGCAGCAACAAGCTGATGGTGGGAATTTATTTCCTTCTATATTGTTTTGACAGATCTTAACCAACAAGAGATTTGAATCACAGTTTCTCCTCTCCAACGAGTAGAATATTACTCTGGATATTTCCAGATCTAGGCTGCAGAGATGCTTTTAGGATCTACCAGAGAGCTCAGACAGATTTTATCTGCAGGAAGAACACGCATTTACCATCTGCACTGACAAGCGCCTGAAGAAACTGAGACGGTCTTGGCTCTCTCTACCAGGAGTACACAATCCTTGTTATGACACATATCAATTTACCTTCCAGGAACTGGCAACCAAATGGGCAACCCCTACAAAGTTAGTCCAGTCCTAAGAAGCAATTTTCAAGTTACTTCTGCTGATTAAAAAGTGCTCATGTTATTTCCAAGTCAGCTGCAGAGTAGGAAGTCCAGACGTCAAAATTTTGGTTTTTCTTTAATCTTCAGAAGTGCTTAAAACTTTCAAGTGTTGTTCTCCTCCTTTTAGTTGCCAATGAAGGGGTTATTATTGTCCAAGAGTTGTTTATGACAGTCCAGGAGTGTAACATGTAACTGTCCCCAAGGAAAGGCCATGCTTAGAAAAACACAGGACATTTACTGAGGAGACACTCAGGCTAACTGGCTGCACAGAAAGCGAAGCAGATAAAAGTCACTTCTACCACTTCACAACATCCACAAGAAATGGGATTATGTCTGACAGGCTTAATTTAACTGAAGCCCTTAGGTAAAGAGGCCACCTGAGGGAGGCAGATTGCTGTACCTGGCAGCAAAAGCAGCCAAAGACAAGTCATCATGATCAGATCTGTGGCCAGTGTGGGGTCACACCTGCAAACAACCACATTACCCACAACAAAAAGCACTAGTGCTATTTGTTCACTGTCTTCCAAAGGGAAACCTTTCAGCACATACACACACAAGCAATTAACTCTCTAATTGCTCACAGGAATTAAATCCCACAAAAATGGTGGAAGTTTCTGCTGTCCAGTATTTTCGAGGGTAACAGGCATTAGTAGGATTCCAAAATTCATCAGCCTGAGCCACATGCAAGCTGAAGAAAGAGCTGTGACCTGACAGTCACTGATCAAGTTTAATCTTGACAGAAATCACATTAACCGCACGCCACCACCCGCTCCTAAACAAAGAGCCTTCCATACTGCTCTGATCCGCTGTTCCACTCTCTCCTGGGATAAGGAGGATATTTTTAGTTTAATTAGGAGCATGTTCTTCTCCCTCCCTCCCAATCCAAGTTTTCCTCTCAATTCCTAGTGTATAGAATCGGTTGCTCTAATTCTTGCAAGCTTACAAACGACAGCCAGCTGCCCTCGAGAACGCAACCTGGCTGCAAGCTATTACCAAGTCATCCTCAGGGCTTTGTTTTTTCTGGGTTATTTTGATAAGCTCAACTTTCCACCACTATAACCTATTTTAGACTATAGCTATGCCTTTGCCAACACCCTTTGTATCAGCCCTGTACCCCTAAAAAAAAAAAAAAAAAAAAAGAATTGAACCTCCTGACTTAAAGGCATAAACCATGAGCAGCTTTGCAACTGGAAACCACAACCACGCAGGCGAAACTCAGTTTTTTCCAGGAAATCCGTTGCCCTTCATCCATCCCAACCCTTGGATGCCGCCGGGTTGTCGATTTAAAACAGGCAAGGCTACTCCAGCCGTGGCGTAGGTCAACCGTGACGCAGCCCAGGGATCCCCGCTATCCTACGGTACAGAGTCAGGCCTCGCCCCTCGGCCGCAGGGCTGGGGAAGGTGAGGGTGGTTATTTATGTACCCATCGGGCCCCTCCGCCATTTTGCCCCGGGGGGGGCGCGCAGAACGCTGCCGTGTGTGTCCGTCCGTCCCCCCGAGATGTGGCTCCTCAC